AATAAATATTGAAAATTGAATATTAATAGATTATAATACATAAATATAAATATATTTTATTATTATTAAAATAAATTGAAGATCTCCAGAGTTTAATATAGTAACCTTCGCTCCAGAGTTTTTTAACAATGATGGAGGTCCTCCGGAGATCTATGCCCGAAGATTTTCGGAGATCTTTGCTAAAAAATTTCCTGATGTATTTTGTTCAATTGTAGCCCACGCATCAACTATAAATTGTTGAAATAATTTTTTACCATAGAAAATTGTAGAAAACTCATTATGTCGTAAAAAGAGCCGAAAAGAATAAAAGTTCATTTGGATAAGGCATGAAGCATTATTTTGATTATTAAGCAGTTACTATTCTGCATCAGTTATAGTGTGATGCAGTTCAGTACTCCATTTTAGTTCACTATAAGAAAAGAGTAAAACATAGTGAAAAGGTAAATATGTTGGATGTCCTTCATGAATCTGTTGGAGTGGATCTCCATGAAGTCGAAGAATAATATCACATGTCACTTTGGATATTAATTTATCACCAGGTAAAATAACAGCTATTTCATTTGTTAACAGGAAGTTATAGCAATGCCAATCAGTTGACTTGCTAAAATGGAGGCAGACTGTCAGGTTTTTTGACTCCTTACATTCTTTTTCAGTTTGCAAAAGTATCTTATGTGCCTGTTTATATATATGATAAAATACATGGTGTTCACATAAGAGTTCTTGTATTTTTCACATTGTATATTCCATTAAAGTCCTGTTTTATTCCATTCTTAAATGATGAGCCATATCAGGGTCATGGATATATAATTGCACATAGGTTGTCTCAGAATTTGGTTTAGGAATAAGAGTACCTATACAGTAGCATAGTTTATTATTAATACAAAAGCTATATGGTCTGTAGTTACTAAGGTCGGATTTATTAATGTTTATACCAAGAAAAGTAAATGCATGTGCTGAATTGTATTGGTGAATGTTATGTCAAAATTCTTTAGAATGTTCATTTTGATCTTCAAAGAGCTAATGCAAAAGAAATGGTAAATCGCAAAGAAAAGGAAAAACAATCTTGCCATATAAGTAATATATACCAAATTTTAGGTGACTGCAGAAGGAGAAAGTAACTTTTTCATCAAGCCAATGAAATGTATCATAGTGAATATATTCTATATCTATATGATCAAGACTATGTTACTCATGGCTATGATCTAATGGCACAGAAGCAAAACAACTTTGTTATAAAGCAGAATAACTTTATTATATAAGCAAATACGTACCAAATTTTAAGATTTATTAATCAAGATACTATTTATTTTATCAAGGTTATATTGTTCTCTTGGATCAAAAGAAGTAAGGACATTTGCAAAAGAGATAAAATAAGGTAAAGTTTGTAATATTTTATTAGTTCCAGTATGTTCTTGAGTTCTTTTTTATTATGCTATCATTCTGGAAGTTGATTGCATTTCTAGTACATATTCACATGCTTTTTTCTCTCGAGCTCTTCTTTACTATTGAGCAATTTCTTTGTGGCTTAAAGTTTTATTCATGTTGAGAAGAATTAAAGAAAGTTTTGTAATAAAGTACAGTATTATAACTTATTATAAGAGCAATCACAACAATCGTGTAAGAAAATTAATGACTTTCTTTTATATAATTAATATATAATTAGCTAATAAGAATCTTTATTTGTTAATATGTTAAGTAAAAATAATTAAATATATAATCAAGTACATGATTAAAAAAATATGCATTTTCTGTAAAATATTTATTAAAGTCAAATATTCATTGAAGTCAAATCTTTTATATAACATCAAATATATGATAATAATAAGTTAAAGTTTAATAAGTCGAGTTATAGTAAGAAAAGTTTAATTATATTATTGATTACAGTATTTCTGGGTCTAATAATAAGCTAAAAATCTAATTATCTTTATTGAAAGTGATCATTTTTTAACAATATAGTAGCAATGTAATAGCATTATAATAGCAATATAGTAGTGGTGTCATTTTTTTAAAAAAATAGTAATGTAGCAGTAGCAATACAAATATAATTCTGTTACTATATTGTAATGTAATAGTAACAATATAGAAACAAAGCAGTTACAATTGCAGTAATAATT